AAAAAAAAAAAAAAGAAAGGAAGTATGGAAAAAGATGAGATGAGAAAAGGTAAAAGAAAGAATTAGATGAAAAGATTTAGTTGAATATGAGATTGTAATTAATATTAAAAAATATATATAATTTTTAAAATTGATTTTATATAAAAATAATAAAATTTTAATTGATAAGATTTGTAAGTAAAGTTATGTAACGGTAGATAATGTTTTTTGTTGCAATATAATAATCATGATTTTTTAATTGTTTAATGAAATTGTAGATAAAAATAAGATAATGTGATTATTGTTTTTGTGAAATTTATTATTATTTTAAATTAAATTAAATAAATTTGAATGTACGAATAATACTATATTTTTAATCATACTATATATAATATATAATAATGCATTAAACAAATCTTTACTATATATAATATATAATAATGCATTAAACAAATCTTTATATATAATTGTAGGCTATCCAATAAATGAAATAGCCTAATTTTTCCCGCCTAAACCAAATTTTGGCTAAATTAAGTAGGTTTAATTCTATTAATCACACTTGGCCGTTATTTTTGGTAATAATCAATCAAAACTAAAATTAAAATTATAAACAATATTAATAAATGTATCAAATACAAAAATTACAATTACATATCATTTTACATCACAACAAATTACAATTACAATAAAATGAAATAATATTTTTGTAATTTAATTTTCTGCCATCTCCATCAACATATACCTGCAGAATGATAAGAACGATTAGTTTCACAATTAAAATTAAAGTTTTAATTCCATCAAATGGCAAAACCGTGTAAGTTATTAATGTAGATATATGTTGTTCTTCATTTGATATATGTTGTTCTTCATCATTAAAGATTTACTTACATTTCTTTTAAAGATTTAAAATATGTTGTTCTTCATCATTAAATATAGTAAAATCGTGTAAATTATCAAGTGGTAAAAATGAAATTAAAATTAAAGATTTACTTTACATTTCTTTAAAAAATGATGTTGTTTTTCATCATTTATGCAAAACACAAACAAAAATGTTGAGATTACAAATTTGTAAAATATATCTGATACTCTTAACATAAAGTTCAGATAGAATATGTTGCTTTTCACTAACAATTAAAACCTTTCAAAAAAAAAAAAATAATAATAAAAAGTCCTAAACACATATTTGTTTACATCTATTAAAAAAATAAAAAAATAAGTTGAAAATCCTTATACTATAGATTTGTTGCTATTTTTATCCATTATATCGTTAAACACCCTAATATTTGCAAAACAAGTTTTGTATAAAATTTAATAAAATAAATGCCTTTATTTGAAATATATTCTATTGTTCTTATAATAAAATTATCAAAATAGTTATAAGAATATAAAAATAAAATGAAAAATCCGTTTGAACATCACAGTTGTACCGAGTTTCTATCATTTGGAACTCGGCAGCAGCAAAAACAAATTCAAAATGATTTGAACACCACACGTGTATCGGGTTTTTATTGTTTAGAACTCAGTAACAGCAAAAAAAAAAAAAATGTACACTGAAATTTGCAATATGGATCTCAGATGTCACCAATTTTCTACATTTTAGAAACCAGTAGCCATAAATCGTTTCGAAATTTTATCTGGATCGATTCCTTTTTGGAATATTAAAACCCCTAAAATTTTCAGGTTTATTTAGACATAGATCTAGATCAATAGCTTCGCTGTTAAAAAATTAAAAGCATGTCTACGATGGCTAAACAAATCAAAATCGATCCGAGTGTTATCTCAGATAAGAGAAAAAATTTAAAAGTGAGTAAGAAACGAGAAAATGTCGCATATGGTAGGGTTTCGAGTATCAAATACCTGCATCTACCACCTTCTTGAATGTTCTATCTTTGTGTGGTGGATGAAGCTTTAATCGTGCTATATGGCTCTGTGTGTTTGGGTTATGTTTATTTGGCCCAATTTTGTGCCGGAAATAATAATAATAATAATAATAATAATAATAATAATAATAATAATAATAAAACCTTGATATTACTAAATTTGATTAAGACGAAATCAAGTTTATTAGTTCCAGTTTTGGGCCC